TGTTTCGTTGAGTAAAAAGGTGGAAGCGTCCACAAATTCGCCAGACGAAACACAGGGTTAGTGAATCCTGGGCGAGATCGGAGTACACCCATGTACTACTCATTTCGTGTTTGTTTCATTGTGATTTGCCATGTTGTCTTTGCCTTTGTGCTCCCCTTGCTGATTTCTTTACCGGTATCCATAAAATCTGTTTGAGTGGACAGCGTCTTCAATGTTGTCTCTATAGCTCGTAAGTGAATGAGTCCAGAAGTAAATCCCATTCTTTGGCTGCAGTGTCTGTGCACGCCTGGGGCTCCTCCTTGAACCCACGTGAAGCCTTAGACGCGGTGTACATAAGTTAAGTGGATTATGTTCTGCGGCTGATAAACATAAGGGCTTCATATGTCTGAACTATGCGTCTGGTTAATAAGAGGTTAGCATCCCTTAACTAATCTAATGCTATGCTCAGAAGAAGAGGATGCGATCACTGGAACAACAGTTTTATTTGCCTGACGTTTCGGATCCCGTCGGGAATCCTTAATCATAGGTGATGGTAACATAGTCATGGTCATGCGCATGATAATGTTATGTTGCTGTTCGTTGTAAGTGGCAGCCTGTTTCACTATAGCCGATGGTGGTTGTTGCCGATAATAGTGCCAACAGTTTAGTTCCAACGGAATCTAGTTTGAACGCTGTCCAGATCGCCATCGTAATGTCTACATCTGTTATAGCATTGCTCAATACGGGTAAATCACTTTTTTTTACTCCAGATGAGCTGGAATGCCTTTCAGTCCATGTGGGCAATTACTTCTTTTAGTTGCCACCTACTCTGGTCCGCCATAACGAAAAGTTTCGCCAGCTCACTGCTTTAGATGTTAGACTCGAGTCGGTCCCCTTTTCGGGTCTTAATGTGCTTTGTGGGATGTTGGTAAGCTATTAGTCCGTGGTGCTTGTCTGTCGGTGCTGTCTGTCCTATAAACAACCGCCGATAATGTCCACGGTGACCCTCTTTACTGCAGGTGCTGGCTGGCTGCCCTTGATGCGACCACTCAGGCTGTCGCGGACCGCTGCGCTCCCCTCTGGTTCCACTTGTACTCCATTTTCCTGCAACCTTCCGACCCCGTAAAACCCGCGACTGGTGAATCTGGGAAGAAGGATGAGCGCTGCGAAGCTCTGTTAGAGTTAATGGAGAACGGCCCAGTAGGCGAGTTCCCTACGCGATGGCGCCTTCTGAGCGCTCTTTACTCCGCTCTTCAAATCTGGCCGGGTCTCTCGCCTGAGGGTCAGTCGTCTTCCCCCTTCCATCCTTTTTGCTGCAACACCTCCCTTTTCTTCATTGTTTTTTTTTCTCAGGCTTTACAGTTTTCTCACAACCATTTCGTTGTTTTTTTTTTCAGAACGAGCTTCCTCACTGCTGATTGTAGGCAATGTTGTCTGGTTTTATGGACAGTTCGTAACACATGTGAACAAGTCCCTCCTAGAGCAGCAGCGCGTTATTCGAAAGGAAATGAAGGTAAGCAGTTCGTGCGAGCCCTTTGTTTTGGTTATCGTGATTCATAAATCGCTTCAATGGGATTTAGAGTGCGTTTTTTGCGGGAATTTTAATAAGTTACTGTCTATTTCCGGTCTGATGTCCTTAAAAGGATTCTGTTTGCTATCGACTGCTCACTGCTGATCTGATAAATATATCGTTCGTTTTAACCCAAAACCGAGAACTCTTGTGGGTTAGGTCCAGCTAGAATCAGAGGACACAGGTACATTTCAACAGACAGCAGAGATTATGAATGTCGGTGACTACGGTTTATCAGTCTAAAATTTCGAGCAGCTTTATCAGCCTTCGTATGCCCTATCTTCCTTCCGTCCTTTGAATTCCCATCTCCACTGCCCGTCTATTTTCATCCTTCTTCCAATCGATTTTAAAGCAGAACGTATACAATCCGACTGCTGCCTTCAGTACATACCAGAATTTCATATAGTAACTTACACGTACCTGTACATGGTGTGTACTTCCATTCCGAACGGCCTGATTCTTGACACATGCAGACAAGGTGACCTAACTCCTCAAATTTGTAACCAAATTATCTGATAGAAGGGAAATTCGCTGGAATCTTTTGGGTAAATCGGCCAAATTTGCCATCTTGTATGTCTCCCGAAGTAATCATCTTGTTCTCCGTCATCGATTTTACTGAGCTAGGTCACGTACTGTACGTTAGTGGTTAGAGCATTATCCTCAGAACCACTTATTTCGACTAGTTTTTCTGG